ACGTGTAGGTGTAGGTGTAGGTGTAGGTGTAGGTGTAGGTGTAGGTGTAGGTGTAGGTGTAGGTGTAGGTGTAGGTGTAGGTGTAGGTGTAGGTGTAGGTGTAGGTGTAGGTGTAGGTGTAGGCTGTAGGTGTAGGTGTAGGTGTAGGTGTAGGTGTAGGTGTAGGTGTAGGTGTAGGTGTAGGTGTAGGTGTAGGTGTAGGTGTAGGTGTAGGTGTAGGTGTAGGTGTAGGTGTAGGTGGTTATTGGAATGCTCAGCCTATAATGATATTCGTGCTGAGGAGGGATTCGATCATCAATAAAGCGTGTTGGAGGCCATGAAATGGGAACCAGTAGGTCTGGCGAGGATGTTGGAACGTATGCGGGCTCACCGAAACTCAGTTACCCCCTTTAGACGCTAGTCTGGGCTGATGTGAGGTGTTTCCTGTCCTCCGTGGCTTTTAGGCGTATAGATATTGCCCTTGGGCCTTCGGCTCGTATTGGTAGTTTTACAGGTATGGGGTCACTCACCCCCAACCATGTAACACACACACACATACATACACACACACTCTCGAACGGCATGACCTTGCTTGCCACATACAGCTAACCGGGGGTGGTTATCTCCCGTTGTTAACGCTGCCACAAAGCTCCACAGCTACACGAACCCAAAACGGTAATTTCCTTCTTTTTAAAGGAGGGGAAGAATGACGTTATTTGCGCTGAATTTAGGTGCCGTACCTCGGCTTCGGAATCTGGTGTGCATCGGCAGGAGAACGGAAGTTCTCATCGATCTCTATAATCATTTTTGCGTGAATATGCATGCCGCCGGATATGCCGGACCGCTGGACAATTGGGCCCAGGTCAGATACATAACCTCGGTGTGGCGCCAAGATGCCCATCCAGAAACATCTTAACAAGGAGCAGGCAGCCAGGCAGACAAGCAAGCGCAGAGGCAGAGCAGGGCAGGGCAGGGCATCCAGCGATTAGGCATAACATTTTTATCTAGCCCAGAAGGAACACACGGCTTAAAGATTAGCGGGCATTGCGGATGCGAGATACCGAGTGCCCGCTGATAGAATCTGCCAGTCTGAACAAGTGCCTGTCGGTCGCTCGCGATCGTGCGCGCACACACGGACACTTATTAACGTCTGTAAAATATTTATCAGCTATAGACAGTGTCCTGGTATATAGATTGGGCCGGTTTCGCTCCCTATCAAATGAGGACACGATCTATAGGCAATCGAAAATTTTACAGACTTGAAGTATTGCCCCGGCCGGGCCTCACGCGTTGTGAACACCCCTCACACCTACGCTCCAACGAACAACGCAAAGCAAGGAAAAATGCGTGGATGACTAATAATACTAATTAGGCCATTTCCAATCCAGAATACATACATGCATATGAGCATTCGCTGCCGATGATGGCGTTGCAGTTGCGCACGCACTCCGCCGTCTAGGCAACTTGCTTGCAGCTTTGGATGGCCGCATACGCCTGGGTGGGAAGCACACGCCTCGGCGATTGCGTACAGCCCAACCACACCTGTACGGGCCGCGAACAAATGCCCCCTCCGTCCTCGTCATCAATGGCCTGTGCCCCCTATCGCGGTGCCTAGTAAGCATGCATGCAGTTCTCCGTACTGTACTATACGCACCGGGCCGCGCCGTACACCGGTAAAACAAATACGAGTTTGATGTTGGGATGGGTTGTTCGGCAGCATTCAGACCAGTCAACTTCCAGTTGCGACAGCTGGTCGTTCCGTCAGCAGCTGAAAATCATAAGAGCCACACCCCCTATCCCTCCACCCACCCACCCACCCACCCAAACACCCATCCACCCACCCTTCCACTCATCGGCATCCATACATACATACAAACACAAACATCCATCCCGTCATCCAACCATCCATTCATCCACCATGGCGAACACTCTGATGAGCAACGACGCAACCAACTCAGCTGCCTAGGTCAGAGGCGTGGTGTTCTGTGTAAACGAGCAGCACGCTTTCGCGTGCGCTCCTCAAGTTCTTCATTGTCAGCATGGTACGTGACATCAATGCCGCCATACATGCATCAACAAGCGGCGAGCAGTCGTCGCTGCCACCTAAAAATGACATAATGCTTCTGGGGCGGTTATCATAGCGACGACTGGACGCTGCTTGCAGCAGGCGTCCTTAGGGTCGGCTTAATCATCCCGCTCTCATACAAGCAAACAAGCAAACAATCGAAGACGCAAACAAGCAAGCATTTGGTCATACTTTGGAGCAAGAGCGTGGGGCAAATGTGTGAATACGTACTGCGTGACAGGCAATAATTACGTAAACAGCCACACTCCACCAACGCGCGCCCCGAACAAGCAACGCAGACCTTATCCCGCGCAAAATGGGACGTTGAACATTGAAATTACGGACCGATAACTTCTAATCACGCACCAGAGAGCGAGCGCATCAACGAACGTTGCGCCGGACGCGCTACACGCCGCGCACATGCACGTCTGCCGTTAGTTTTGCCGCAACAGAGCAAACTGATCGACTGGAAAAATCAATGGGATTTGCGTGCCGCCCTAATCGCAGCCCCGCCTAAACAGGTACCGATGCCGATCTACGCAACGAGGCGCGGGTATAGAAAAGGACTAAAGAGCACGCGATACAGTGCCCAGGACACTACGCTATACATCGCTGCCTGCACCCCCTTGCAAAATGGAAAAACCTACCTAGCTGCGGGAGTAGCTCTTAACAAACATCAAGAAAGGATACCACGTTCGTTCGTTTCTAGTCGCAAGCCGAGCGCAGAACTAAAGGCCCCTTCTGTAGTAGCTGGCACACAGTACGGCTCTATAAATACGCGCGTAGCGCGACCACCAGCATCTCGAGAGGCCTTTTCAGCGGCCAGCTACTACACCTTCCATCACACACTCGCCAGGCCGCCCAGCCAGCACCAGCCGGGAGTCAGACCCAGCTTATGTCAAGCCAGGCCCCACAGATGCCACAGGTCGGTCCCCAGCGTGGCCGCACACCGCAGCCAGGAAATGCCCGCTGCGCTCTACAACCTCTTCAATCCAAACGAGGGTCCCCAGCCCAGCGGCGTCAACGGCTGCCAGCCTGAGCCGACCTGACCCCATCTACCCTCATCGATCTTCCCTGCCCTGATCTGCGCTGCACACCCCCTGCACCCCTTGCCTGCTTTTTTTGTGTACCATGTTCACGCTCATGGTGCGGGGCCTTGAGGGCCCTTGAGGCCACCAACCCACGGCTCATCATCATCATCACCCATTACTGGGCGCTTCCAGGAACACACGGCTACTTGGGCTGCCTTGTGATCAGAGCTTGCAAGAAACGCCCGCAACGTTGGAGGCCTTGCACGAGTCCAGCACCTTACCCCAACCTGAGCCAGGACAATCGGCCACTCTCGCTTCCACCGGTGTGCCATCATCTTCAGGGGTGCATAAGATGCCATATTTCCAGAACCGCATATACGATGGCAGGGGTGGCACGCCTCCGTCGGCATTGTTGAGCGCCAGAACGGCTACGCCGCTGTCGGAGCCGCCGTTCAGTTGCCGGCACACCACGGTAGCGGATATGCTGTCCCACCCTATGTCGGGGTCGTCGTACAGGTTGCAAAGCGCTCCCCACTCGTTATTGTAGCACACATCCACACGGCCCACAGCGGGCACTGAGGTGTATATGACGCCCGAGGTCGCCACAACGCGAACGGCACCCTCCACATTGCCTGCAAGCGAGTGAGCGAGTGAGTGAGCGCGCAATGGACGAATGACTTAAAGTGGGTGAGTGAACATGATGATCGAGCGGACGACGAGTGAGTATCACTGGCCGAGAGAGTCGAGTTCCTGAGCGAGTCGGCGACCGTAGGAGAGTAAATGAATGAGGTGCTGACAGAGTCAGTGCGTAACATTTACAAACCACTGGCAACGCGAAGAAGCTTTGGAGAGCAGGGGTTCGGGTAGGGTGCTGGGTCGAGTGGTGCAACTCGTCTGGCGAGCATCCGTAAGGAAGGAAGCAGGACAGGATAGATAGCACGCACCGACCTAGCACGCATAGCAAGCCTGCGACATGACACGTCTCGCACGATGGCCGCAGGTGGTGATGTGCCTAATGCTTTGTCTGCATGTGAGGCCGGGCGCCCCGTGCAAGCCTCCAGCAGCATCTCCTTACCCTGGGGAGTTTTGCTCTTGTTCTTCTAACGGCAACCACCTATTCATTTGGCTTCTCGCCTTCGTTACCTTAAGGCATCGTCGGCCTACCGTAACAAACGCAGTGCGTTTACACAAATATGAGCCACACAGTTCGGGCCAAAAAACACTAGAGAAGCAACAAACACAACCTGCCGTCCCGAGAGCCGTACAACAGAAGGACGCTTGCCCCAAGTACGGCAGTAGTGCCAATCAAATGCAGGGTAGCAGGTAAAAGCAACTCACAGGTTATGTTTGGCCGTAAGCGCTGCTGCGGTGATGGTGGTTGCGAGTTCGAGCACACTACGCCCGCGTCTCGCTCGTGGCGGTTGCAGCCTTGGATTGCTGACGCATTCCGACTATTGCATGAAGACAACAAGGTTTCAGAACCTGTACATGCCACGTCTGACAGCAGTACGAGCTGGTCTGCAGCGCCCGACGGGAAGCTGTTGGGCGCCGCCGCCACGCCCCTGGCGAAGCCCAGCTGACGGCACGCCACCGACGCGTCTACATCACTCCAGCCGCTGTCGCAGACCTGCGACAGATAGCGCGTGAGGGGGGCGCACGGCGGACAGGCGGCGGAATCATTCCTGAGAGTGCCCCGCACACCGAGCATCCGACACGTCGATCGATGGCTGCATTAGGCCTTTTTATTAGGACTGAATGCGGCTTTCCCTCCTCTTGATTGTATCGAAATATTAAAACCCTGAAACCCATCCACCCGCCCGGGGTCCCGTACCGTTCCCCACAGTCCTGCGTTGGAGCAGACCTCCAAACGACCGGAGGTAGAGCTGCCGCCGGCGAGGCGGACGGTCCCCGGGGTACTACCTGCAGCGGCACGAGTGAGGAGGGCGCATTGGTGGAAAGGGCGCGTTGGGCCACTGGCTGCGGCGCAATGGGGTGGACGGGTGGTCTTAAAACCCGGTGGTGGCTGAGCGCGTCGTGCGAAGGGCACCCCCTTGCGTTTCGAAGCAAGACTTCTTCCTTACAGCCTGCCTGGCAGTGCAAGCATTTGTTTCGTACGCCTGTAGCGTCGTCCTTCCCAACCGGGTTAGCCTTATAGCGCGTTAGGCGTTTACTTCACGTGGCTGGCATACACAAGGCGACCAACGGAATGAGGGCAAAACGACTGAGCCTACAACCAAAATGCTTCAAAGCCGCGTGCGCTGCCACTATCAGATCGCTTTTCGTTTTTATCCTATGTACGTTAGAGCACTACCACAGGCTTCTTCACACTCACAGAGATAAGGGCTGGGAGGCGGACGTGGCGACGGTGCAACAGTTGACGGGTCGTTGGAGCACACCAGCCCCACTGCTTGCCGCCTGGGGTTGCAGGTGCTGCCGCCCCAGCCGAGAAACATGCACTGCGTCAGCCGTAACAGCCAACCGCCATTGTATGTGTAAGGCATCACGCAGTCGACGTCGCTCATCCAGAAGAACGCGCCGGGCCCCGGGTCGCCGGCCACCGCGCTGTTCGACGGGCCCATGGGTCGCCCGTACAGGTAGCCAAGCTGACGACACGCCACGCGCGCCTCCGGCATCCCGAAGCCATTGTCACATACCAGCCCGTATCGCCCGCTGTAGCACACCTCCAGACGGCCTGCGCCCTGCCGGCCCGCAATGGGCACCAGCCGCAGGGCGCCGTCCTCGGAGCACTCAGGCGGCGGTGGCTGGGGCGGTGCTACTGGCGCCGGCGTGTTAAAGCAGACCACGCCTGCGTCCTCCTGGTGGGTGCAAGGCAACCGAAACCCTGAGGCGATCGTACGGCGCCTGCACGCCAAAAGTGAGCTCTCCGCTCCCGTACAGTCCACGTTAGAAAGCCAGATGCTCATGTTCAGGGGGCCAGGTGTCCAAAGGTCGAGCATGTTGGAGTCGGGTGGTGGCGGTGCCGCGGGTGTCGCTGTCACGCTTGTGATGGCACGTGTTAGTGCCCGTCCCGAGGGAAATCTGAACTGCTTGCAGACGACGAGCGCATCGTTGTTGTTCCAATTGTCATCACAAACACTGCAGGACAAGAACACAAACAATGGCAGCAACAGGAAGATGAGGATTTGGGTTTCGGAACAGCGTTTCGTTTGGCGTCCTGAGTAGGGAGAGCCCTCGTGAGTCCTTTGCAGGGATTTGTTGCAAGGATGCACGGACTGGGAATTCGTTGGGCATTGCATCCTAGCGTAGCATCTCCTTTCAGCTGAAAAAGCTCCGGGCCCCGGTCAGACCAGGCCAGGTTACGAACCAGAACGAATTGACCCAAACATGCCAGAACCGATGCTACTCACCTGCCCCATTGCCCACCAGAACAGACCTCGACACGGCCGATAATAAAACTGTTGCTCGTTACGGGACGGTTAGAATGGAGGATCATGCCATCTTTCGGCACTAACCGCAACACCCCGTCCTGGCTGCATGGGTAGCTTCCAGGCTGCCAGCTGTTGCTGCCGTTGGTGAAGCCCGACGACGGCGGTGGGGATGCCACGGCAGGGTTCGCGCAGATCACGCCCGCATCGTACTTGTGGTTGCAGCTCGTAGAACGGTTGGGCAGGAGGCAGCTTGCAAGTGCCGTCTCGTAGCCCAGGCAGGTCACGTTACTATAGTGGATGGGCGAGGATTCAGTCGCATTGGGAAACCAGCCCCCCTCAACAGCCTCGCCCCCGGCGGGGAAGCCCAGCTGCCTGCACGCCACACGCGCGTCGTCCCAGCCCCAGCCCATATCGCAGATGGTGCCCCAGACGTTATTGCGGCAGATCTCCAGCCGCCCCGACCATGCGTTGGGCCCGTCCATGAGCCGCAGCTGGCCATTCGTGCCTGGGTGGCACGTAAGGGACAGGGAATGTAGCTTTGGCGTGCGGGCGAAATATCAAAAGGACGAAGGAGAGGCGCTGATGATGATGTGCGGAGGTGGCTCAGAGGTTTCCTTCCACTCATGCCGACCGTGACAGACCCCGCTGGTCCAGTCCAGCCGCTTGCACTGAAAGGCGTTCCTAACCCGCATCAGCCCTCCTTTTATTACCTACGGAGAACTCAACCAAAGCCGACTTTGTAAAAAAGCCAAAAGCCGGAGAAACACGGCAAGCGGGCATCCGAGCGCCAACCTAGACAGTGGGACGCTAGGCATAGGACCGCTGCGAGCGAAAGACATCCCCCAGCGAGGGGGGTAGACCCTGATCCCAAGCACCATCACTCACACCCCGAGCTGGCTGGCGTCGGCACGGACGCGGCTGCTGCTTGAGCAGCTGACAAGAGGACAGTGGACAATACTGACGATCGGGCTGTAGTAGGCGGTGGAGGAGATAATGCTGTTGCTAATACAGGCACCAACTCGGGGGGGTTGGCGTCCAGATCTGATGTAGAGTCCTGGGATGTTTCTGGAAGGCCTGCATTGCGACTAAGCACCTGGGGTAGTGAGGCAGCTGTCCTGATGACGAGAGGAGGTGGGAACCGAGGCCGGGGAGGCGGCATGCGGACCAGCGGCGGCGGCGGCGGCGGTGGCGGTGACAAGGAAACCCGGGGGGGCGGTGGTGGCGGGCTCTGTCTCGATGGTGATGAGGATGAAGGTTGAGACTGTCTGACGGCAGGCGAAGCGGTCGTTGGCAGTGGAGACGGCGATCGGAAGGCCGACGGCGGGGGTGGCGGTTTCCACATCCAGCGGACGATGTTGCTAAAGTGGAAGGCATCTATGGGTGTCCAGTAGGAGTAGTCCCAGTCATTAGGAGGGCCGCCGCTCAGCACCCCAAGGACTCGCAGGTCATCCAAGTCCACGATTGAGCTACCCGACTGTCCTCTCCTGGAGTAGCAGTAATTGTACATCATCCACATCGGCCGACACTGTGACGTAGTCAGGAAGCACTGGTTGCATTGCGGATTGTAAATGGGATCGGTGTAGCCGCAGGCCATTGTCTTGGGATACGAAGCCCGCGCGCAGTCGTACTTGATGCCCAGCCAGGCCGTGTGCGGACTCATTACGCGAATTACAGCAATGTCGAAATAGTTTACGGCGCCGCGCTGGTCCGCATAGCTCCTGTTGGTGGTCTCCGTACGGTAAAACGTGGCGTAATCGGCTGAAATGTATGTTGCCGGGCTGTCGTAGTTAGGTTTCTTATCTAGGGCGGGGGAAATGCGCCAGTCTTTGTAACCAGTACCAGTGGAGAAGCTCCAAACGCAATGCGCTGCAGTGAGCACGTCCCACGGCGTGATGAACGCCCCAGAGCACTGGAACTTGGCAGTTGCGCTGGGATCGCTGAATATGAAATGCGCTAGGGCACTGAACGGATACACCTTCGCGTCCAACACCCCCCAGCGGTTGTCCCCTAGCACCCGTCGACTGCCACCACCGCTGCCGCCACCGCCACGACTAGCATCGTCTTCCCTGCGAACGCCAGAAAGCAAGCCCGTAGCTCCGACAGCGGGCCCCCCGGAGTCATGGCTGCCGCTGGCGCCGCTGCTACCGTCCGTCCAGCCCACTGCCCCGCCGCCGTGGACTACAGCGCTGAGCCCTAACCCTGCCATCAAAGCTCGTTTAATGACCCGATGTTGCCGAATAGGCCGGGGCGTTGCTTCCAAGAAGAAGTCACCCGTGTCCGGCGAGTACCGCATCCCCCTGACCTGCACCACCAAGGTGACCCGGAGGGGCGAGATGGTGGGCGCAGGATAGAAAGCCAGGGGGCCATGCGTGGATTGGGCAGATGCTTGCTGAGCAGGGTGGATGGCGGCGTAGCTGGCTGAGGCGTGGCGGAATGTGTTGGCATAGGAGGAGCAGGAGCTGGGTTTCCCTTCTACCTGCGCCAAATGCTCGCGAACGGGCTTCCCTTGAGTGTTATAACTTCTCTTGCATGGCCAAGACGCGCCTGCTGTCCCACGTCTTTACATTCTTGACTTCCCGCAGTAACAGGATGCTCGAAGCGCATTAAAGGCCCCCCTGCACACTGCCCCATTGGGTTAGCGAGGGGCACATGTCCTCAAGGAGCGCTCTACTTGGACTACGTCTGATCTTTATATTACGCGTACATAATAACATGATTGCCCACGTGAATGAAATACGGTTGACTGCAGGTTCTACCTGCACCCTTAATTCTACGGGTTTATTTCATTCCATTTCCCACTGAGGTGATCTTAATGTTCATATCTGCGCAAGATGGTCAATTTTTGCTCTTACGAGGATCTGGTTTATTTCCGGAGGGGCTTAGGTTTCTGCTGCGGTAAAAAAGGCAGCCCTGGTGCAGCGCCTGAACAAGGGACGCCATTCAGAGTACGTCCTGCTGACGGGCAGCAGGAACGGTGCGGCGGCAGGGCACAGGCGCCCTAGGTAGCGCCGTATCTGCTATCAGCACGTGCAGACTTCTCCCGTCCCCAAAACGGATGTGTGAAACCGAAGGTGTGGCTACTTGCCGCCCGGATGGCCACCACCGTGGACTGAACTAGGTATGTATGTATGTATGCACTCCTATGTATGTATGATGTGTGGGACAAGGGGGTATACCTTCACCCGTGGCCGCTACCCGGTGAAACCCTGCCTTCCCCGGTATTTCGGGACACCCTCATCCAGTCACCCTAGCCGACCTCTCAGTGGATCGCTCAGGTTCAGCACCCACCACCGGCATTCAACGGAATCTGCCGGATCAACGGCGGCTCAACTTCATTCCTGGTCAGCTCGTAGTTCTACTTTTATCCCAGGTCACCACCGTCCATCGATTAGGAGCACTCTTACCTTCCACCATCGGAAGGATTTTCGACCCTGACAGGTCTGTCTGTCTTTATGTATGTATGCATGCATGCATATGTGTGTCTCACATATTTGTATGTGCGTATGTATACATATGTATGTACATAAGTGTGTGTTGACGGTGACACAGCCATCCATCACCCGACCGTTGCATATGAGTCACTGGCGAACGTTTGACCGGAATCTAACCAGCACCTGACCACCAATCGACAGCCAACTGACCGGCAGCCGACCAGCAACTGCCATCCCCCGAGCACACCACCATACCTGAAGATTATCCAAAGACGACGCGCCAACTGCGCCAGCAGCCTCCGCCATAGAGCCGCTTCCTGCACCCCCCACGCTGGCGCGCATCCTACAAACGAATGGCCACCAAACAGAACCGACCACATTAATGGCACAACCCCATAGCCAGACGCAGTTGGCTTGTCCGAAGCTGATGTTTTTGTATTAGCGGGGGCGCCGTTGTTGGCTAAGATGAAGGTGGGGAAATTGGAACAAGAGACGTTTTGTGCGTGTGGATGAGTATCTAAATTCGAATGTCGGCGGTAAGTGGGCAGGCAGGGTGGGTGGCGCACAAGCAGGCAGCCAGGCCGGCGAGTGAAAATCTGCCTCCGGCGCACAAACGTCACATTGTACATGACAGCGCATTGTAGACTGCTCAGCCACATACCTGCCACCCAAGTTACTGGGGTCCCCGCCACCAGATGGCCCAGAATGCAGCTCTACAGAGCCCACATAGACAAAGCCGTCAGACTCGAAGCGCTTCATATCTGAGGCACGGGGTTTCCTCAGCTTCGGACTCCGAGGTGGGGGTGGCGGGCTGGTGGAGCTTTTGGAGGATGCAAGCGCCGCTGTGGAGGCCGCTGGCGGGGCAGATGCGGGGGCTGCAGTTGACGCCCAGGGCGCCAACGGCAACAGGTCATCTCCTAAGGACGACGAAAAGGCAAGCGGATGTGAAACTTTTGGATTGATGGCGCATCCCGCCCGTTGCCATGGATAAATGCCCCAGAGCATGTACCTGTACATGCGCCGTCGGTTCCGAGCCGGTGCCCCTGGCATTCCGCTAGGCAACGGTGTCGAAATGTTATTCCATTTACACAAACTGGCGAGATTTCATCAGGGCAATCGTCGCAAATCCACAGCGGACTTGTTGGGTTAGACTGAGAAGTGGCAGCTGTGGCAAAATATGACAGAAAGAGTAGCCCAACGCCCAGGCGATTAGCCCAGCGCATCGTGTATCTATTGCATCTGATGTACTTTGTCGCTCCGGTAAATCGAAAAGGCGAGGGCGTGGGCGATGATCTGCACGAACGGTTAATGGCGTAAACTACTTACCCAGTTGTAATTAAGGAATGCGATAATACACAATTTGCGTGGTATCATGTGATCTGCGAGTTGTATGCCGTAGGTGCTTCTCAGCTTCGCAACAGAGGTAACTCCATTTGTGTGCATTCCTAACTAATTTCATGAGACCAACCTGGATTTGCAACGAAGGTCACTGGAACAAGGTACAACCATTTGCAGACCATTAAAATGTCGTTTTCCTGCGGAGTAGCTACGTTATCCATAATTGGTGGGCGGTCTCACTCCCTCTCTGCTTAACCGCAAGGTATATAACTCAAACCTTATACTTTTGAAGTTATAAATATTTGATGTAAGGAAAAAACATATGCAGTGCGTTTGCGTTGTGGAAACGCCCACCGTCCCTTTATTATTCCAAGTTAATAGCCTGTGAATCTAGATACCTGGTTGGAATTCTGCTTCATGCTGACTACTTAATAAGCTGGATGTTTAGCTCACCGCGGGGCCCCATTGCCCGGGTCGGACGGTAAAAGAGTTCAAAAATGAGACTGGTTTGAAGGACCCCACTCACATTTCCAACATAGTACATCATTTCAATTGTGTGAATATTCAGGAATAATTAGTTCTTGATGGTCAACGTTGGTGTAACCTAGTGTCACGGAATTCGCAAGGCCCAGCTTCCGTCCCTTCCATGGCTCGATCAATCCTGGCACACGTTATGTAGGAGGAATCCTAAGCAACCAAGTAAAGCATCGTCATTGGCGGCCGAAAGT